ATATAAATTATATCTATTATCCTTCACACATTATGCACACACACAAAAAAAAATTAATATATATATATATATAAAATAATATAAAATTATAATATAATTAAATAGACTAACAAAATATAATATTTAGGTACTAATTACTCGCTATCCTACTTCTTAAATGTGCGTGTGTCATATACTCCAATGATAATTTGTTTTATTATTTTATTTATTATTTTATAAACCATTGATCTGATACCATTTGTCACGACCCACTCCCCGTACCCAAGGGTTAAGTATCGTGATGGCCAGTAACCGAGGTTACCTCCAGCCAATTCTTAAACAAATTAATAAACGCGAGCGGAAGTAATATTTAAGTAAGGGTACTAAAATAATCATCGGAACTTCTATTTTTATTACAAAATTTACTAACCAAAAATGCCGATATTTACATATAAACATATCATAAAAGTGTTGTGTATATCTATTCCACAACCCCGCGTTTAAGACTTTCCAAAAGCTATTTCTGAATTGCATTGTTTCTTGAAAATTGGTAAACAGTTATAAGCACATGGAAGAGTAAAAAATATTATACCAAGAGTATAAGGGGCACAAAATAACTAAAATATATAAGTAGCAAAACTAAAATATTTAAGATTAGGGAGATTTTTTTTAAGGTCCCTGATATTAAGAATTTATAGCATAAAGGACACTCGATATTTTCATAATGTCCAAGGTCCCTCAACATCAGTCCAGAGAAAATTCGGTCTAGAGAATTTCTCTAGACTTTCCAGAGAAATTCTCTCCAAACATCCAGAGAAATTCTCTTTATCTAGAGAAAATTCAGATAGTCCAGAGAAAATTTAGACATCCAGAGAAAATTCAGATAGTTCAGAGAAAATTCATACAATCCAGGAAACTCTGCATTATCGTGCATTTTATATGTTCTCTTACAAATATCTTTTCATGAAGGGTTGCTATCAAAATTTTGTTTGCTAATCCTAGTGCTCTTTGTAGATCAAGTCCAATAAGATGAGGTGGTTGACAGTAAGATCTTGCCATACCTTAGCATAGACAAGAAAGAGAAGAAGTCATTCCCTAGACTTCCAGAAAAAATTCAACTTCAAAGATAAAATTAGTCCAGAAAAATTCTTGAAAGAATTTCTCTGGACTTTCCAATTTCTCTAACATTCCCTAGAATTCCCACTGTAAATTTCTTTGGCCTTCCATTCTCTCCAGAGAAATTTCCCTTCTCTCCAGAGAAATTGTAATGTGCTTCATCTTGTTTGAATATGCCATATTGTTGATATTGATTCAGAATTTCTACAATTGTTTGGGAAATTCCTATAATTTTCTTTGAATGAATTCAATAAATTTTTGTTGTACTTATCTACAAATTTTCCAGGGTATATTTATCCTTACCTAATTCCAAATTTCTCTGGACTTCTTTTCAAATTTATCTGGACTTCCCACTGTCCAAAGAAATTCTCGCCAAATTTCTCTGGACTTCTCTCTAAATTTCTCTGGACTTCCCACTGTCCAAAGAAATTCTCGCCAAATTTCTCTGGATTTCCCACTCTAATTTCTTTGGACAAAGTAAGTTCAAGTCTCATCTTAGCCTAAGCTCTCTCTCACTCTCTAATATTTTTTCTTTGGATATATGGTTGCAGAAGAAGCTTCTAATTCTCCAAATTTCTCATAGCCATTATTGGTTATTCAAAATCAAAGAATTTCTCTAGTTACCTACCAGGAAATATTTCTTAGTTATCTAAACTTCTTTATTATTGGTCATTCAAAATCAAACCAAACCAGAGAAATTTGGGCTACCTAGAAACAAAAAAACAATCATAATTTTTTCTATGTTTTGAACAAACTAGAGAAAATTGTAATTGTTTTTTTCTATGATTATTTTTCTAAGAAACATTTTATTAAACAAGTTAGCTTCAAAGCTCATAGCTATATGTTTTACAGTTCTAAAAAGAGTTTTGTCAAACCAAATCTCACAGTTATGTGTTTTGGAGTTCTAAAAAGCATTTTGTCAAACAGTTTAACTTCATACTATATACATGGATGTTTATATGTGTATGAGTTGTGAGAGAGAGAGAGAGAGAGAGAGAGAGAGCAATCTCCTCTTGACCAGTCAAGAAGAGGAGGATATCACGCTCAGATTCTGTCAAGTGGATCTTTATAACAGTGATTAGAGATATATCTAGGTAGTCACTTTCTGGCTATTTGGTGCAGAGTATCTCCATCGGATAAGTTCTTCCAAGAATTGTAAGGATATTGTAGTTAAAGGAATAACTTGAAAATTTCTCTACATCTAATGTGACAGATGTGACAATCAATCGAAGGTCAAGTCTCCTCTTTACAAGCTGCTTCAACAATCCAAAAAGGACATCAATGTGGATTGTCCTCTCATGAGCTTCATCAAGCATTATAACTGAATACTGAGATAAATTCTCGTCAATCAAAATCTCTCTCAGAAGCATACCATCTGTCATATACTTGATTACTGTATCCGGTCCGGTCCAGTACAAATGACGACGATGAACTCCGATGATGGAGGTAGAGTTCGTCGGAGAGAGAAGAGCAAAGAGAAAAGAAGAGAGGGAGAGGCAGTTTGATTTAAGGGAATCAAATTTCTCTGTGATATATGGGTGTTGGGGATTGAGGGACCTTAGACATCATAAAATAATATTGTAGATCTCTTCCATTATTAAAAATAGGAGAGGAACCTTAAACTAATTTTTCCTTAGGATTACTTAGTTTGAACAAATAATCATTTAAGTAGCAAAACTGAGATTATGTAAATAAATAACCATAACCACGGTACCGAATAGAACAGAACAGAGGTCATAGGAGTGACAGTCAGAATAGAGGTACGGATTCAAGAGGTGGCTCGTACGAACTCTAGAGGTGGCTTCCACAACAGTGTAACACTTAGCTCCGTATAGCACTTTGCTCCGCACTGAACAGAGGTCAATGGATCCATGATAATAGAGGGCCACAAAGTGACCAAACAGAAGCCAATGATTATTTAAGTCACCCAAGGCGTGGGACTCCCGTGGAGGTACTTACAAAACATAATTGTATATAAGGTCATAGTCAAATATTCTTTAAAATATAAACAAACATATCCATGGGTTTCATTTTAACAAATAGAGTTCAGAAAATAATCCACGTAATTGAAATATTAATATAATTAATAATAATTTATAAAACATAACTTGTATAAAACAAATATAGTAAATCAAAACATACGTAAAATATATTATGATAATTTAAGATATAATATAACTCACCGTAAAAATAATACCTTACTCTTTCTTTCTACTACTAAAAACCAACTCAATACCATTATTTTTTTCTTTATTTTCTTCTTTTCTCTCCTTCCTTTCTCTTTTCTTTGTTTCCTTCCTTCTTTCCCTCACAGCACCTCCTCCTTATTTATAACGAGGTGAAAGCCGTTAAATCCAACGTCGCAGTTCAAATCCCTATCAGATTTGATCACAGATTCGTTCTTATTTTTAATAAATATTTAAAATAATTACATTTTAATTTAATTTTTTAATATAATTATATAAATAAATTAATCCTTAATTAAATTATACTTTATCGTATACTAACAGTAAATTCATTATTTATTTTACTATCACACCTACTATTATTATTATTATTATTATTATTTATTTACTATCTTTAACTTTAATTTGACCAAACTAGTATTATAATTTCATATTTTTGTTGATTTGGCCCGAAATAATAATCCCTAATTAATCTCATATTTGATAATCCAATGCCAAATTAGATTCTGTATTTATTATTGTTTATTTAATAATATATTATCACATACAACCATAATACTAGTATAAAATTTAAGGGACGACTTAAATTTTCAGGTTGTTACATGTTTGGTAACCATTTCGTTTTCAGTTTCAATTTATATTTACAAAATTTTAAAATTTATTATAAAAACTTGTTTGATAATTTTTTTGGTTTATAAATGATAGTCTCAATTTGTAAATTTGAGGAAAAAACGTAAATTCAAAAAATGAATTTACGTTGGTTTTTAAACAAAAATTTAAAAATTTTACTAACAATTTTTTTTTTCAATTAATTTTTTTTCAATGAATTTTTTTTCCAACTAATACTAACCGCGGAGATAATTGGTAATGCTACTTTAATCCTTAGGGAGGGGATTGTAATTTCTAAAATGTGAGGGGTGTCAATGTAATTAACCCAATGAGGGCAAAATTGGTATTTAAAAAAATTAAATTCTTGAGAGGGAAATTTGTAATGAAATTTTAAACCTCACGGAGGAGATGTAATTTTCAAAAAATGAGAGGAGAACTGTAATAAACATAAATTTTAGGGAGTGTCAGTATAATTTACCCAAATTTTAAATTTCAAAATAAATTACTCATTTTATTAATATATTATCAAATCAATTAACAATTTTTAATGATAGCAGAAATGTATTTTAATTAATAATTTAGATGATTTTATTATTGAATGCAAGAACAGTTAGGAATTTTACTTTTTAGTTAATTTTGTTAAATAAAATTTTTTTATAATGAGACATTTGTAATTTTTTAAACTATAGAGGGTAATCCAAGGGTGTATTTGTAATTTATCTACTTTTTTTTTTATAATTATGATAAAAAGATGTCATAAAAAATTTACAATAATCTTAACAACATTATTATGATGTGATTTATATATATTTATTTTAAATTTTATATCAAGCGTTGGGTACAATATTTTATTATAGAAATAAATAACTTAAATTTTTTTAAAAAAAATCTAATTATTAAGAAATAGTGAAGTGTTTTTTAACTTTTAATTTTTTATTATACATTTTCAACTTAGAAGTTGTACCAAATAAATTTGAAGTCCCAACTATAATTGTTAAATGAGATTCAATTCATTAACATTAAATATATAAATTTTATTTGTTTTTATGAGATTAATTTCACATTTTGTATTGAGAAAAAAACGAAGGAAAACAGAGTGTATGTTAAATTGGGAAATTCACACTCTCACTGTCTTTATGAGCAAGGAAAACACTCCATTCCATTTTTCTCTTCTCACCTCTATATAAGCACCATTCCATTCCATCCAATTCTAACAAAATCATTTCAACCTATACTGCCTACATACACCACTGGTTCCTCTCTTGTAAGAAGAAAAAGATGACAAAAATGGCGGGTGGAGAGATGTTGACTCAACTGGGGTCGACCATGGCTGGCCTAATGTTTATCTGCGCCATGTTCAAGCAGTACTTCCCCTTTGATCTCCAAAACCACATTGAACAATATGCTCACAAATTGATCGGCCTTGTCTACCCATACATCCAAATCACTTTCCATGAGTACTCTGGCGATGGGTTCGAGCGCAGCAAAGCCTATGCCGCCATTGAAAGGTACCTCAGCACCAACTCCTCATCCCGAGCTAAGCGGCTCAAAGCAGATATGGTGAGAGATTCCAAATCTCTTATCCTGAGCATGGACGATCACGAGGAGATCACTGATGAGTTCAGAGGGATCAAACTCAAGTGGGCTTCAAGGAAAAACACCCCCAACAGACAAGTAATCTCTTTCTACGGAGACAACGACGAGAAGTTGTACTACAAGCTCACTTTCCATCGGCGGCACAGAGAAATCGTCACCGGGACTTACTTGAATCACGTAATGGAAGAAGGGAAAGCGATTGGGGTGAAGTCTCGGCAGAGGAAGATCTTCACCAACAACAGAGGCGAGCAACGGGTCGGGTCTAGAAGAACGATGTGGAGCCATGTGGTGTTCGAGCATCCAGCGACATTCGATACTCTTGCTATGGAGCCCAAAAAGAAGCAGGAAATTATCAACGATCTGATCACCTTCACGAAGTCGAAGGATTACTATAAAAAGATCGGCAAGGCGTGGAAGCGAGGGTATCTCCTCTTCGGTCCACCGGGGACTGGGAAATCTACCATGATCGCGGCCATGGCTAATCTGATAGAGTACGATATTTACGATCTTGAATTGACAGCGGTGAAGGACAACTCGGAGCTGAGGAAGTTGTTGATCGACACATCAGGCAAGTCGATTATAGTGATTGAGGACATTGATTGTTCGCTGGATCTAACGGGGCAAAGGAAGAAGAAGGAAAAGGAGAAGGGTGAGAAGAAAGATGGAGATAAAGCTAATCCAATTGAGGAGGAGAAGAAGAAGAAGGATGCTGAAGATAGCAAGGATAGTAAGGTTACTCTGTCTGGGCTTTTGAACTTCATCGATGGGTTGTGGTCGGCTTGTGGCGGCGAAAAAATCATCGTCTTCACGACAAACTACGTGGAGAAACTCGATCCTGCTCTGATTCGAAGAGGAAGAATGGATAAACATATAGAAATGTCGTATTGTAGTTTCGAAGCATTCAAGGTGCTCGCGAGGAATTACTTGGATCTTGAATCGCACGATTCGTTTGAGACGATTCGTGGGTTGTTGGAGGAAAACAAAATCACTCCGGCTGATGTTGCTGAGAATTTGATGCCTAAGTCGTCTGAAGAGGATGCCGACACATGTTTGAAGAATCTGATGGAAGCGATTGAGAGATTGAAGGAGGAAGCGAGGTTGAAAGCAGAGGAGGAAGAGAAGGCCAAGGCAGAGGAAGAAGAAGAGAGACTCAAGGCTGAGAAAGAGAAAGAGAAAGAGAAAGAACAAAAATCTGCTGAAGAAGAGAAAGAGAAGAAAGCATCAGTTGCAGAAGTGAAAGAAAATGGAGTAATCACTTAAAAAAAACACAGGATGTTTGGGCAAGAAAAGAATAAACGTAGTTACTAGTTAGGGTGCTGCTGGGGACTCCATTCACGGCGGGTATCGTTCAAGTCAATCATGCTGTTTGGTGTAGCTTAAAAGCTGCTTATTTTAGCTTTTAACTTAATTTAAGTTATTTTGATGTGTTTGATTTAGCTTAACAATGCAATTTATAACTTTTTGTAAGTCAGAAATCAACTTATTCTTTAAGTGAGGCAGGAGATGCTTAATTTATAAGTTAGAAATCAGCTTATATTCATAGTTATAAAATATAAGTTATTAAGCCATAAGCCATACGCTATAAGCACTTTCCCACAGCTCTACCAAACAGGGCCAATATTGTGTCAATTAGGTTCCTTTTGGCTGAAATTTCAATTATGACCTATTTTGAAAAGAGAAATGTTAGAGATCATGAAAAATTTGTCATGAAAAGGATCATGAAAAATTTGTGACCCTTAGATTACTTTGATTAGTGTGTGGTGCTTTATTATAAGTGTAATCCAAAGGTCACAAATCTTTCATGACTATTTTCATGAAAGACTTTTCATGATACTTAGCATTGCTGTACAATTATTGATTATAAAAACATTGAAGATTCAGAGGTCAATATATAAATAAACAATAGAGGTCTCAACTTACCAAATGTTGGAGAACTATATGTAGTCCATCCATCAGCCGCCCCCTCCCCCTCCCTCTCCCTCTCCCTCTCCCTCTCCCTCTCCTTCCTCCCTCTCCCTCTTCCTCTTCCTCTCCTTCCTCCCTCTTCTCTGTGTTTTTTTTTTTTGAAAATTCGCCCCCAAAACGACGTCGTTTTGGGGGCGACAGGGGATGGCTACAGGGAATGGCGACCGAAGATCCGGATTCAGTAACCCAAACCATGTGACAGTCTATAATTGGTCCTTATGACAAAAGCTAAAATCTATTCAATTTCTAATAACATTTTTTTTTTCTTTTTCCCCGTCAACCTCAAATATCAATGTACTCTTTTGGCAACTGGCCTCGTTTGGAAAATGTTATTTTAGTAATTTTTAAATTTTTTAGTTAAAATATGAGGTAAAAAAAATTAATATATTTGAAGTGATTTTTTAATTTTTTATGAAAAGATGTATAAAAAGTAAAAAGAAAAGAAAATCTTTAATTTTTTTATATAAGTTATAAGTTTTTTTGACTTTTTAACTAAGATGTTAACATGCCAAACGAATAGTAAAAAGTTACGTTTGTAATTTATTTACTTTTTTAGCAAGGAGTCATTTGACAAGTCCAAAAAAGCCATATATAAAATACAATTATAACATTTATGTTTTTATATATTTATATGAGTGAAAATATAAATTTTCTACATTGAGTGAGAATAGTTTAGTTATTTTATTGTGATGTGACATCCTAAACAAATATTAATAAAAAAATTTAAAAATAATTTTTTATTAACTTTCTAAAAATCACTTTTATAAAAAAGTTAAAAGCTTGATTAAAAGTAAAAAATTGACTTCTAACCATCTTCCTAAAACTAATAAGAAATATATCTACAATAATCTAATATAATTTAGGAAAGTTTTTTTTTTTAATGTAATTAAATTTTCAATAAACTAATTTACTTTAATATTGGCTCAAGATACTTTGAAGTACAAGCGAAAATTTTAAATGAAACTTTTTATTTTTTTTAATATTGTTGTAATTATGTGTTTTCAAGTTTATTTTCTTTATTTTTGAGATGCAAAATAACAAATAATTAAAATCTTATATTCAAATTTTGTTAACATATATTGTACACTTAATAATATGATTAATTCACTAAAATGTTTCTTGTGCTAAGAATTATGCAATATAAAGACTCAAAATTGCAGATTTTTCAATCATTGTTACAATAAAAGATTAAAAGGGAGCACATTTAAATAGTATTTTGTTCATTAAAATAAACTTAAAATAGAACATAATAGTCATTCCTTAATTTTTCTATAGAATAATCATTCACTTGCAATGGGAATTGATAATTTTATTGGTAATTCAATTTTCACAATATTTTTAGTGAACTTAACATGAGAATAGACATTACTTTAATTCTAAAAAACCAAACACCATCTAAGGTTAAGAATATTTGGGGCCTTCAGGGTGAATTTAATGCTATTGATATCAGCTGTAATTACTTTCTTTTAAAATCTCTGAACAAGAAGACTGTACCTGAGTCTTCACAGGAGGCCATGGACCATTATCTTACTGTGCGAAGATAGGAACCAAATTTTAAACCATTGGAAGCTTTTGAAACCACAACTGCTGTCTAGGTTTGGTTTCTCGAGCTTCCGATTGAATACTATCAAGAAAAAGTCCTCTTTGTGATTGCTAAATCCATTGGCCAACCTCTCAAAATTGATTGGACCACGGCTATGGTGACGAGGGGAAAATTTGCAAGAGTATGTATAGAAATGGATCTCAGCAAACCCCTTACACCAAAGTTCATTTTGGAGGATAAGGTTTATAATATAGAGTATGAGTCTCTCCATTCCTTTTGTTTCCTTTATGGACGCATTGATCATAGAAAGGAGGCTTGCAGATTCCAGACATCAAGAGCCCCACCGGCGATGGAAACACTAGCTGTAGACACTCCATTTTTGACCGTCCTCAAGACTTGAACGTCACCGCTTGAACACTCGGTGATCATTCCTGTTTGTGTTCGTCTTGAGTTCCCGGAGGCCTCGGCTACACGCCTTGCCTCAGGATCTCTCGACTCGACCGTTTTGTGTCTGGTTTTGTACCAAACACTTGTATTTTTTGCTTTGAAGGGCAGAGAATGGCTTTTGGGACATCCCTACACTCCACCGGCTGTGGCTTAAGGCCACCGGCTGTGTCTTGTTGCCATCGGCCAAGTGTTATGGTCGGCCGGCCATTTTGAATGCCGGTCGGCCACTTTGATGGTCGGCCGGCCAAATGTGGTTTTCAACAGATATTTCTGCAGACAGCTGGCAGCTGTCATTCTAGGCCATACCCCAGTCCATGCCTGGACGTGGGAGCTCCGAGGAGCTGCAGATTGATATATCTCTATATCAATCAAGCTCTCTAAAAAAGGAGAGAGAGATATACAAGAGGAAGAGGAAGAGATATACAACCTAAGGAGCAAAAAACTCTCTCTCTCCCTACATTTTCTGCCTCACTCTCTAAGGTTTAGGGCTTGTTTGTGCTCAAAAGTGCATTTTCTTTGCACTTTTGCATACAAACACCTAGTTCTCTACTCCTTTTATTGAGCTAAGGTCCTTGAAGGTGATTTTTAGGGTGATTTGAAGCCTTTTCTTGATCCAAAAGTTGCTGATTTGCTGCTGTGCTTCAAGAGTGAGCTTTTACCTCTTTTAAGCCTTGTTTTCATAGCTTGTTTTGCCACATTTGTAACTATTTTTGAGCTTAACATATAACATAGAAAATTCTTGTTTTTGAGTGCTCTAAATAGTTTGTTAAGGGTGTTTTAAGCTTTGGGGTTGTTTGACCCCTCTTAAGGCTTGTTTGGCCCTTGTTTTGTGCCATTTCGGTTGAGCTCCGAGACCATTGTGTTTGGGCCTCCTCACCACTGAAATCTTGAGGGATTTCAGTGATGAGGATGGTGCCTTGAGGTCCTAGGAAGGAGAGGGCCGCCCCTTCTCCTTGTTGTCCTTGAAAAGGGCCATTTTTAGCCTCTTCAGGGAGCATATAGTTTGAGTGTGTATTGACTATGCCTTGACTGATTTTCATGCTTATTATGTCATAATATAGCATTGTTGTATGTTGGTTTTGGTACACCATGCTTGCTTAGCATACATGCCTTGTAATGCCTTATTTTAGCCTTAACATGTCCTATGCTTTGAGCCCTTATTCAAGCATGTTTAGGCCTAGCTTTGTGAAGCTTTTATGTTTGTCTTGCCATGCTTAAGGTCTGTCCTTGGCTGTTTTGGTCGACCAAGACATGCATTGCATAGTCCCTTTGCATCTTGGATTGTTAGCCCCAAGTGTGTGAGTGTGGAGTATGCTTTACTTGCTTTGATTTAGTGAGTTGGAGCCATTTTCCATGTCATTTCAGTCCACTTAGCATGCTTGTATGCTTGCATTTCATGGCCCCTTTGATGCTCCAAGAGGTTGTGTCCTATGCTCCATGTTTGGTCATTGTGCATGCCCTTGAATTTAAGTCATTTAGATGCCATCTAAAAAACTATAGGTTCTATCGCAGGATTAGAAATTTTGAAGTGGAGATTACACTTAAGAAGATGAAATCCAATAAGGCTTTAGGACCCGA